TGGCTTGCGAGCTCTAGAGCACAGGCTCAGTAGTTGTGGTGCACGGGCTCATGTGGGATCTTCCCGGACCAGGGCTCGAACCCGTGTCCCCTGCCTTCGCAGGCAGATTCTTAACCACTGCACCACCAGGGAAGCCCCTGCCTCTTCTTTATGAAAGTTGTAGTCTCCCAGGCCTCCCCTGGGTCACAAAATCCTAGCTCAAGAATTTATGAGTGAGGGAATTCCCTGGCGGTCCAGTGGTTAGAGCTCTGCTTTCACTGCCGAAGGCACGGGTTCAATCCCTGTTGGGGGAACTAAGATCCCACAAGCCGCGTGGCAAGGCCAAAATAAATAAACAGTACAACTTTAAACATTAAAAAAAAAAGAAGAAGAAGAATTAATGAGTGAAAGGATGTGAACATGTAGGGACAAAAATAGCAGTTGGGGGCTTCCCTGGTGGTGCAGCGGTTGAGAGTCCGCCTGCCGATGCAGGGGACACGGGTTCATGCCCCGGTCCGGGAAGATCCCACATGCTGCGGAGCAGCTGGGCCCGTGAGCCATGGCCTCTGAGCCTGCGCGTCCGGAGCCTGTGCTCCGCAATGGGAGAGGCCACAACAGTGAGAGGCCCGCGTACCGCAAAAAAAAAAAAAAAAAAAAGCAGTTGGGCCAGGAGAACTGGTAAGAATTTATACAGTAAATCAGCCATATGCTGGTCACAGAATCTTTAGTTCCTCCCTGAAGTACCTAGATAAAAGTATCTGATGCACATTTCCTGAGCTGTTTTACAGATGCTAAAACCCCCACCAAATAGAAGAAGTTAACTACTTGCTGACCATGAGCTTGCAGTCCCCAGACCAGCTGGCGCACGGAGGATTGATAATGTTAACCCCTGTGACACCACCCTATTACCTCACCATCAACCAATCAGAGAGTTATGCGCATTCTGATCACATACCCTGTGACTCCCCTCCCTCACCTTTCCCTTAAAAACTCTTCCCTGAGACCCTTCGGGGAGTTAGGGTCTTTTGAGCATGAGCCACCCTGTTCTCCTTGCATGGCCCTTGCAATAAACCTCTCGCCGCTCCAAACAATGATGTTTCAGTTTGTTTGGCCTCACTGTGCATCAGGCACACAAACTTGGGTTTGACAACAGCTGTACTGCCTGAGCCAGTGCAGCGCTCAGCACAGCACAATGCAGAGGTTTCTCGTGGACATACTCCCAGACCCACCTTCAGGTAGCCGGCAAGGCGGGGGCAAGTCAACCTAAGCACTTAGAGTCGGTTGAATCGGCAGATGCGGAACCCGTGGATACGGAGGGCCTACTGTAAAAGCGATTCCTTAATAGTTTGGACAGTAATTGCAGTGGAGCAAGAAAATCTTCTTGTTTGGTTTTTCTCCCAAGATAAAAACCTGCGCAGATTTGGAGGCACTTTTGCCAGTGTTACACAGATGGTTCAAAGTTTTTAAGACTCTCAGAGTCAAGGTTTCTTTTCATTGCAAGTATGTGAATATATCTCTGTAGTTACAGTCTGTATTCAAACTACTGGAATAAAATATCTGCCAGTCAAAAAAAAAAAAAGGGAGGGGACCAAACTTCCCTGGTGGTCCAGTGGTTAAGAGTCTGCCTTCCGGTGCAGGGAACACGGGTTCGATTCCTGGTCAGGGAACTAAGATCCCACATGCAGCAGGGCAACTAAGGCCACGCACTGCAACTAGAGAGAAGCCTGCATGCCACAACTACTGAGCCCGTGTGCCACAACTAGAGAAACTCTTGCGCTGAAACTAGAGAGAAGCCCGCGCGTCGCAATGAAGACCCAGGGCAGCCAAAAAAAAAACGGGTTGGGGAGCTCAGAGACAGAAGAGAGGGGGAGTTTTTATGACTTACATCTCCTTCAGCCTCTGTGGAAAAGCTGAGGACCAGAGGACTACTGTTATGTGATACTGGCACAAGCAGGGAGGAGGGGGGGTTTGCACTGAGTACCTTGTGCCATGATGCCTGGAATTTGATAAGTGTTTAGAGAATGAATAATTGAACCAGCACTGGCCTTCAACCTGTTATCCAACTTCAGGGTTTCTGGAAGAGCCTTGCCCAGTCTCCCTCACCGAGGTGTCCAAGGAATCAAGAAAAGATGGATTCTAGAGTCCCTTTCAGCACTTATTTTCTCTGAGCTGGGTTATTATGTAATCTGACTGATACGTTAGTATGCAGGCTGACCTGGAGGGTACAGAGACTAGAGGCAAGAAGATCAGTCAGGAGGCTGATACAATGCCCTCTTGAGATATAAGAGCTAACTCAAAAAAAAAGCTAAGTCAATGTGATAAGGAGTGAAAAGGAAAGCATAAAAACAAAACACAGAGTGATTTTCTTCAGAGAATCAGCCTTTGAAGTAGGATTACTAGATAATATACTAAAAAATTATTTGTTGTTTATCTGAAATTCAAATTTACCTAGTGTCCCAGAGTTTTTCGTTTGCTCTGTTTTCTAAATTTGGCAACCCTACTTCAAACAGTTACCTGAAAGGGCTGTGGCCTAACTTGGGGGCTTCCTGTCTAGACACAGATCATAAACCTCTTTTCCAGCCAAGGCCAGCCCCTGTTCTCTGTCCCTGGCACAGGCCTCAAGGACTTGGCCCTTTTTCCTTTCCTCTTCAACATTCACACCGCTTTGTCCCGGGCTTCCTCTTCTGAAAGCCTGATTATGAAGCAGGCTGCCGTTGCCCTAGCTACCCCCCTTCCTTGCCACTTACTCCCCAAATAAGCCCCCAGCCTCTCCTGAGAGTTTTACCTCTAATCACTAGAGGGAAAGATAGAGGGAAACAAACACAGTAAACAACAAAAACTGTACAAGGCTTTAAAAGTTGCCACAGTTGGGGTCTCAGGTTTGCTGCTGCTGACCACCACTCTCCCACAGTGATTTAAACACCTTTATTCCTGAGGACGAAACTGTCAATGAAAAAATTAATCAATAGTCAATCTAAGAATGGAAAAAGAAATAAAATGGAAAATTTTATTCAAACCAACCTGAGGAGATATATATATATATTTTTTAAACATTTATTTATTTATTTGGCTGCACCGGGTCTTCGCTGCAGCACACAGGCTCTTAGTTGCGGTATGTGGGATCTGTTTCCCTGACCAGGGATTGAACCCAGGTCCCCTGCATTGGGACCGTGGAGTCTTAACCACTGGACCACCAGGGAAGTCTCCAACCTGAGCATTGTAAGCTGGAGCCAGTCTTTCAGAAACTCTGAGGACTGTTGCAAAGAGCTAAGGTGGGAGGCTAGGACTTAACGTGATTTTGACGAAGGGGTATGTGCAATCAAGCTCACATCTTGGTAGACGGTGACTGCTATTCTCCAGAAATAGAGATCTTAGTTAATGGTTTAGTGCTTTTCTAAGAATGGGAAGATGCAAGAAACTGAGATCATAACATTTTCTCCTGAAAACACATAACTGAGGGCCAGTTCTGCCAGTTTTCCCAGAGCACGAAGTGCCTCATTCTGATTCTAAATTCCTTTCAGGGTGTACTGCAGGTCATTGACCACAGTGGCTAATGACTTGATTCTTATAGAACTGGCTAGGGGGGAACATTATTTTACAATCCTCTACCTTTCAGTCTTTATTTCAACCAAGGTTTGGGAGGCATTTCATGGCCAGCTTGTTTCATGGTGCTAGGAATGCTCATTCCCATGTCAGGAAAGGATTTCATTGATAGGCCAATGTGCTATTACTGGACTAGGCCCTGTCAACAGTAACCAAAAGCCTTTGGACTGTCTGTCTTACTTGTCTGTTACGGTCTGGATAATGATTCGCTCTTGTTGTTTCTTCCTGTATCTAGAGTTACGCTATTACAATCATTGATCTTATAGAACTACATTTGGTCAATTGTTTCAAGTTGCCTAGTCATCATTATTTTTATTGGAGGCTCAGTCACACATTTGGTAATGCAAGAAACAATAATCTTGTAAAATAGGCAGAATACAAGTAACATAGTTAGTAACATTAATGAGGTAATAAGTAAACATTTAAGCTAAGAAATTCCATTACGTATCTTCCCCAGGTCATTTGACCTAGTCTGTCCTGCAAGCAATCTCTGTCATTAAGGGAAATGATATATTGGTATTGTACATAAAGTTTACCAAAGATATCTGCACGTACGAGGTGAGTGGTGGGTCATCCTGATGCCTTACAGGATTGAGAAAGGAATGTTATCTTCTAAGGATTTACATGGTTGGCGTCAGAAGAAGAAAAATTTATCTTTATGGTTGAGCTGGTATTTCTGACATTGGAGAGATCTGGTTAACGCATAATGCAGACGCACACTGCACACTAGAGGGAAGAAAAGAGGCCCAAACGGAGAACTTTTTTTTTTTTTTTTTACTAGACCAGCAGGGAATTCCCAAGCAGAGAACATTTTCATGTTTAAATTTTTCTTGTTTGCCTTAAAATAGGAGCTTTATTTCATCAAAGCTCAAGGCGGAACACTCTGGTGCCCATTTATTGTGAATCACTGGAACACATTAGGGCTTAAAGGACAGAGGGCTGTGCCTCTTGTTGAGAATTCAACAAGAGATGTAAACTCTCTGGAAAGCCATGAAAAACAAAAGTAGGGAAACTTTTGTTGGTTTTTTTGCGATACGCGGTCCTCACACTGTTGTGGCCTCTGTCGTTGCGGAGCACAGGCTCTGGACGCGCAGACTCAGTGGCCATGGCTCACGGGTCCAGCCGCTCCGCGGCATGTGGGATCTTGCCGGTTCGGGCCACGAACCCGTGTGCTCTACGTCGGCAAGCGGACTCTCAACCACTGCACCACCAGGGAAGCCCCAACTTTAACCATTTTTAAGTGTACAGTTCGGTGGCATTAAGTAAACTCACATTATGTAACTATCACCACTACTAGTCTCTAGAACTTTTAAATCATCCCATACTGAAACTCTGTATCCGTTAAGCAACAAGTCCCCATTCCCCTCCCCCCCAGCCGCTGGCAACACTGTTCTTTTTTTTTTTTCTGGAAAAGTTTTATTGTGCACAGAGGGGAAGGGCTCAGTCCTTCTTGGCTGCTGTCTTCCTCATGGCGGCCAGGACATTGCTCAGCTCCTCTCTCTTCCTCTTGGCACGGATGTGTGTCCCCACCCTTTTCTTGATGAACTTGAGGGCCCGCTTGTCCTTGGAGACCTTGAGCAGCTCCATGGCCCGCCGCTCATAAAGGGCAAAGCCACACACCTCCCGGATCATGTCCCGCACGAACTTGGTGTGCTTGGTGAGGCGCCCGCGGCGGCGGCTGTGCCTCGGCTTGCTCACGTTCTTGGTCACCTTGTGGCCCTTGCTGAGGCCCACGGCCATGGGGTAGCGCAGAGCCATGGCTGCCGCTCCTCAATGGCTGCCGCGGCGGAAGGGGCAACACTGTTCTGATCAGGAGGTAGAACTACATTTTATCTCCATGAATTTGACTGTTCTACAAACCTCATACAAGCAGAATCATTAAATATTTGTCCTTCTGTGTCTGGCTTATTTCATTTAGCATAATGTCACGTTTAACGCATAGCATGTACCAGAATTTCATTCCTTCTTAAGGCTGAATAGTATTAAGATGCAGTTTTGCACATACTTTAGTGCCATTAAAAAATACACTTAAATTTAGAAATATACTATACTATGAGTATCATCTGGCTTTCCCACAAAATTAACATGGGAAAGCTATGGACAACTGGGGACATAAGCATTTATTTTTCACCCTCGGAGAAAACAAAACGTACGCATCCCCAAAATGGTTCCTTCTAGTCCTTGAAGTCTGGAGACTTTCAAAACCCGCCACTTCATGGCCTACAAAGAACTACAACTCCCGGTAGCTCTAGGGCCCGGCCCTTCGCCCCGCCCTGCTGGCTCCAGAAACTGCGTTTCCCAGAAATCCCAGGCCGGGGTCGGAGCTGGCACTCCCCGGGCGCCCCCTAGCGGCGCACTTCGGCGGGGTTTCAGTTCCCGGCGGCCCTCGCGGCAGGTTCCGGCCGTAAGGGCAGTTCGTGATGTCGGGAGCTGGTTCCGCCGCTGTGTCCGGGGCAGGAACCCCCGTGGCGGGGCCCGCAGGCCGCGACCTCTTCGCCGAGGGGCTCCTCGAGTTCCTGCGACCGGCTGTGCAGCAGCTTGACTCTCACGTCCACGCCGTCAGGTGCCCTGGAGGGAAGGTTGGGGCGGGGCCTCTCCTCGATTTGGTTTTGTAGGGGCGGGGCCAAGAAAGGGCGGAGATAAGACGAGTTCGGCGTTCGGATGGGACTAAGAATTTAGGGAAACTGATTGGAGGCGGGGCAGACCGGCGGAGGGCCTGCCGGTGGGGGCAGAGGCTGGCTTTTCTGAGCACTTAAGAAACACATAGGGGACTAGGTTTTTGAGTTCCATTAACTGACCGTGTAGGCCTTGTACCTCTTTGCAGAGAGAGCCAAGTAGAGCTCCGGGAACAAATTGACAACCTAGCTACCGGTGAGTAAGCATCCCTGTATACCCGGGATCCTACAACTCACTACAGGACCTTATGTTTTGCCAACCTCTGGGGCTGGGTTTCTGTCACTTGCTTCCAGGGCTGCCGATGGACTCCTCTCAAGTTTCTAGTGACTGTGCCCATGTGGCACAAGAGTGCTTTCCATAGCATTTACTAGCTTACTTGTTCCAAGAACGAGAAGGCCATTAGGTGTTTAGTTGCATCTTCCTTCCATTTCCCAGAACTGTGCCGTATCAATGAGGATCAGAAAGTGGCCCTGGATCTCGACCCCTATGTGAAGAAGCTCCTTAATGCCCGGCGACGAGTCGTCTTGGTTAATAACATCCTACAGAATGCCCAGGTAAAGGAATTTCCTACCAACAGTAATTCTTTGTTCTTCTAAGTCCTTAAGGTATTCTCCGATTTTCAAGGGGTGTCATGAAGTCCCCAACACAGTGAAAGTCACCGTAATTTTTAGTCTTTTTGGGGAAAGGGTTGTCAACTAATGCCCGCCAAAATAGAACTTACTGTTCTTATTCTTAACCCCCAGTTGCTCTCATTTATGTTCTTCTTACATACCTTAGAAGACGTAACGTTGAGATGAAGCAAGCCTAAGATATTTTCCAGCCTAGTTGACAGCAAGTTCTAAATCCTTTCACAGAGCAGTTAATTTGATTCCAAATCTTGTTTTGTAGGAACGGCTGAGGCGGCTAAACCACAGTGTTGCCAAGGAAACAGCCCGAAGGAGGGCAATGCTGGATTCAGGAGTTTACCCCCCTGGTTCCCCAAGCAAGTAACAGGCCAGAAGATGGGCCCATGGCCACAGAATAGCACAAATACCATTCCCCGGCTGCCCGTTTCCTCCAGGACTCCCTGTAGGTGTTGGGACATCAAAAGGGCAGCCCTGTGGTTTGTTTGAAGCACTTCAGTCTTACCCATTTATGTGGGGCCCAAAGAAACCTGTGTAGAGCAGGACTCAGGATCCCAAAGGATTTATTATGGCTCTTGCTTCCAAGAATGAGCTGAGGCCTCTACATTTTTTTTTTTTTAAGCTCCATACTCAAGGCCCACCTCCTCTACCATCTCCTGGCCTCATTAACAAGGGAGGGGCTTCCTCTGTTACGTGCGAGGTTGTTGGACCTGGGCAGAATGTCCTCTACCTGTGACTTCCAATATTCCTTTGTTTACAGTACAAAGGGCAGGCAAAGTCAAGGTGAATGACCACCTACCCTCTTTTGTTGACTGCACTGGCTTGACCACTGTAGCAGTGTTACTAAAACCATTTAATTCAATAAATGCTTAAATGGTATTCCAGTTTACTCTGGTATATGGAAAGGTTCCAAGAGTCTTCTGCATTAATTCAAATATAGATTCAAATTGAGATCTAGTGTTCACAATGAAAAGACTCAAGTATCATTTTCAACGAAGAGTTCATAAAGCAAAAAAAAGGAAGCAAAACAGCTTGCCAGATACCAAGGAAAAACAAGACCAAGAGCCCTACCAGGAAGTACTTTAATCTTTTTTCTTAGTAAAAAAAAATTGCAAACACTAACAGTTCACAACATTTCAACAACAAAGTACTGGTTGAGAGAGGTTTCCAGAAGCTCGGGATTCTAGAGTATTAGGAATAAAAGTTGGTACCCTGCTTCACTATAGATGGATGGCATAGGTCATAAATGGGAGACTTCTGGCTACTAAGCCAGTTTCAGAATGCAGTGGAATGACAATTCCTTCTATAGTGTCCTCTTAATCTTCCTTCCTATCTCCCCTATCCCTCAGAAATGCCACCACATAAAGCCCAGCAGCAGTTAGCTTAGGCTCCAGTCTTCTCCTTGGGTATGAAAGGGGGTGAAGAGACAGGGAGGTCATTCCTGAGTCTCCATGCTTTCCTCTTCCTCTCCTTGAGGTGGCTCTTCTGTATTCTCCTCCTCTTCCTCTCCTTCCTTCTTCTCTGGTGGCTTCTCATAAGCCTTTTCTGAAGGTGTCACTATCACTCCATCCCAGGTAGATATTTCAGAAGCAAGATCTAGAAGAGAAAAGAGGTGACTTCAGACAAGTAGCTCAACATACAAGTCATGACCCACACAGTGGAAACAGTAAGACATAAGTAGTGTAGAGTTTCTTTGTAGATCACAGAGTACCGTAAAGAACCCCTGTCCCACAGTGGTCACTCACAGCTGGCATCACCCTCCTGGCCAAGGATCTTCCTAAAGCCACCATGTGAGAGGATTCGGACCAGAGTCTGAGCTGTGTAGCAGACCATATCCTGAGGGAGAGCACAGTAAGGGTAAATTAGCAATGAAAATCAAAATACCTTATTTGACTAACATTCTCATGAAAAGTGAGATAAAAACAACTTCTAATTTCAAGACCAAAGTCTGTGAGAACCCCCAAATCCCTGACCACTAAAAACCACATTCCCTTTGCCTTCTGACCAGATATTCAAGAGTGGGGCACAACAGACCATTTTAGAGCTGTCCCAATACCTGCTGTTCCAGAGTCATGACTGTGTGTACTCTGAAGTTGCCACTCTCACAGGGGTCAGTGATACCCACCGACCCTGGCAGGAAGAGTCCTGCAGCCAGAATCTGCAAGCATCGTCTGAAACATGGATAGGTATTAGAAGAACACACAAGACAGCTTACATCCAGCCCCAAACCCAAAGCAGCATGCTATACCTGTAGGCCACATTTAGGGCCAAAGGCTGTCTGGTGGGGTTGTTCATCACAGCATAGTGCCCCTAGAAGAAAGTGAATCTGGTAGGTGTGCCATAAAGTGGCAATTCTATCTTCAAACAAAACTTTAAACCATCAAGAAGAAAACTGGTTAATGTCTAGCTAAAATTTTAACGTTGAGAAGCAGTTCTGAAATGACTGCTCATGCAGTAATTTCTCTCCATTACCACATTAATGAAATGACAGCAGTAATGAGAAAAACAAAGGTGCAGTAATAACTACTCATTTAACTGAATACTCCAAAAGCCCAAAGAAATAATAAACATTGAATCTTTATTGGATTACTTGTCCACTAATGAGATTTCTTTGTTTTTCTTTCCCTTTTCCGCCCCTCCCCCCCATTTCTTTTTAATCTGTACCAAATTTCATATTCTGGTAGGTTTCAGAGGAACTACTGTAACATAGGGAGGATCAGGAATTCCAATTGCCCTTCATTACTTACAAGTAGGTCAAGTATCCAGGGAGTGAGGGGCTCAAAGCCAGGGAAACGAATCCTCAGGTCCTTCAGCAGCCTGATGAGAACTTTAACTCTGAAGGTAAGAGGAACCAGGATTAAAAGTAATAACGGATCATGAAACAAACTAGTGAATATAACAAAAAGGAAACAAACTCATAGATACAGAGAACAAACTAGTGGTTACCAGTGGGGAGAGGGAAGAGGGGAGGGGCAAAATAAGAATAGGGGATTAAGAGGTACAAACTATTATGTATAAAATAAGCTACAAGGATATACTGTACAACATGGGGGATACAGCCAACATTTTATAATAACTATAGATGGAGTATAACCTTTAAAAATTGTGAATTACTATGTCGTATACCTGTAACATAATACTGTACGTCAACTATAGCTAAAAAAAAAATAAAGTAATAAGATTATTTACTTCCACACCTAAGGTACAGAGATGAAGCTATTTCCAGAACTATACATTCCCTTCCCTCAACCTAAGTTTGCTTACTTAAGGTAAAAATCAAAATCCAGACAGAAGATCACAGCCAAAAATGTTCTGTGAGAGGAAGTATTGGGGTGGGGTATCCTGCTGTTCAATGTAGTTAGAAGGATTAGGATATATCTTCACTCAAACAGGGAGGGACTCACGTGGACTGAGAAGCATTTTCCTCAAACCAGCGGGCATGTCGGATGGCTGCTAAGGCACTCTGCAACACCTTGATATCCACTAGAA